CCGAAATACTGGAGGGAGCCGTCAATCTGCGCGACTGCGAGTCCGCTATGAAGCAGATCGATGTGTACGCTCTGGGGCTGGTGTTGTGGGAGTGCGCCAGTCGTTGCTCAGACCTATACCAAGGCGTTGAAGTGCCCGACTATAAGCAGCCGTTCGAGAAAGAGTTGGGTCTTCGGCCGTCGTTCGATCAAATGCAAGTCATGGTCACCAGACATAAGGCGCGACCACTCTTTCCCGACATCTGGAAGGACAGCAATCCTGCCATTCGGTCGCTGAAGGAGACAATAGAGGACTGTTGGGATCACGACGCGGACGCCCGGCTCACCTCACTATGCGTTGAGGAGAGACTCTTTGAATTACCGCTTCTGTGGGAACGCTATAAGAGTGGAACCATTACTAGTTGTGTCGGAACCATGTATTCGATGTCAACTCAATCTCATTTGCTGACCAACAATAACCAGAAGAATGCGTTTCGACTCAATGGCGGAAGTAATAGCTTTCATAACATAATTGGAGGCATTTCTGGAGCCATTCCTCTCGAACCGAACGATAAGATAACGAATGATTTGCAGACAAGTCTTCTCATTAATCGACTCGAATATCCCAATCATAACATAAATACAAATAATAATATAAATAATAATTCAAATCATGTAAACGAAGACTCATTGCTCTCATTTTCGCCGTCGTCTGACTTCGAGAAGAATATCATTTCAGCGGCGAATGCATACAAAAATCAGCCAAAACTGACACTTCCTCTGCAACCACATCAGGGAAGGAATCCATGTCTTGAACGCAATCTAATGCTTCAGTCATCTGATGACAACACGACAGCCCTTTTAGAGCACGGATTCAAGTTTCAAATGAATGCTCCGAATCACGACTCACTCTTCGCCGACCCTTTCAATGAGAGCAACACTACTAATGAAAGCAACGCTTTGTTAACCAATGATCTCTTGAATCGAACCACTAATGAGAACACGAGGAATGTGTCGCGAAGACCGGCCAATAGCCTAAACCCGATTCCCTACGTGCAGAACCCGGTGGGCGTCAACACTATCCCCAAACAGCACAACACCGGGCACTCCAATGGGCACAACCAGCGCTTGAAGAAGACAAATGAGACGTCGAATGTCAAAAATACCAATGAATCGACTTTTTTAAAGTTATTCAACTGGTCTAACATTAAGACACTTAATGTTTGGCCAGTGATGAAGACAATGGGTCGAAGGAGTGACGGCAGTGATCAATGTGTGGCCAATGAGAGGCAAGCGTTCACTCATCGCAATAACAACTCGACTGTGAATCGAGAGAACACACCAAACATGAGACCTGTTTCTAATAGTCTGATCTCACATTCGCTCCCAAACCCGATAGCGATGGACGCGGACGTGAGTCCATCGACTCAGCCTAAAGTCACACAAATAGATTTGGTTAACGGCTCTCCTCTTATCAATGTTATCACAAATAACGAGAAATCAAACCACAAAACCATTTCAAATCAATTCAACGTTTTGATCGAAAGGCCATCAAATTTAGAGACAATTAATGGCTTTAATAGTCGGACCACTGAATCGGAGACTAACCTAAAAGAATCTTCCGTTAAAAGCGATTCCACTTCAGTGGACACATAATTATAATAATAGCATTGAAATCATCTTCAAGTCAACCATTGGCTCATTCGCTGTAACTCTCGTTAATTATATCACGTATTCAACAGTTTTATAAAAACTAACGAATATTTTGCGGTTATTATTATTATTATTCATTAATTATTAATAATTTAAACTCTAAGTCATATACTCTCTTGTATTCAATGCAAAAGCAATTCATTCTGAGTTCAAAAATTATATGGTTTTATGTAATTTAAGTTTTTAATTATATCTTTTAATTATTAAAAAATAAACATTTATTCAAAATAAATAGCTTTTGTTTTTTGTTGATAAATAATTTCTGCGATCACTTGAGCCGGAGTTGATTCTTCATTGTTGTGATTTTGTCGGCCAGTAATCGATTGGTTGGCCCGCATCTGCTCGACACGTAGTCCAGCGCTTCTACGTCTTTGGCCTCGAATGCAAACTTCGCCGCGTCTTCTAATAGGCTGTGATTTAATGAACAATTAATTAAAAATACCAATTATTAGTGCATTATTATAACACAAATAATACCCGCATTTGACATAATATTTGATTTTATTTTCTTCGTTGATTTTGAGTAAATATTTCTGCGCTTCGTATCGATTGCGGTGTTCGAGACATATGTCCACAAATGGCTATACATTTGCAAATATAGATATATTTATTGAATGACAATAGAATGGTATGAATGGATGGCTTACTTCATAACCAATCGGCGATTTCTTAATTTTACTAAACTTTTCCAATTCCAGAAATTCCGCGGTTTCGGCCAAAATAGTCATCTTTAGCCACCAATACCTACGATCTCCTACTTTGAACTCCTTCTTCAGTTCTTCGCTGAGTTTGTATTCCTTATCAATAATGAGTTGTTTCATAGTTTGATGCAAAGAAAGGCTGAGATATTTGCGATGAAATTTCTCCTCTAATTTGATTTGATATTTATTTAGACGAATGTTTTCGTCAATTATTGAGGCGTTGAATTCATTTCTGGACTTTTTGAACGAATCATAGGCTGACTGTAAATAACTCTGTTTTTGTGTCACATTATTAGACGTGAGACTACGGCTGAGCCACGAGTTGGCCTCAGAAGCGAAGTCGTCTTCTTGATAGTAAAGGTCTGTTAACTTTTCGGTCTCTTCTTCTCTGCAATACTGGTTCGGTTCAAACATATGAGAAATGTCTAGAGTTTTAATCATTTTGAATACCTTTTGGTAGA